CCAACAGTAGTACATCTAGCAGCTAGTTACGAAGTGCTGCATGGGAAACCGAGGGAAGCTCCTTCCTGACTGTCCAAATGATCAGCGTATACCCTGAAGCCTATGATAACTACCCAACATGTAGATCTGGTATCTACACCTTTACAAATACCAGATGGAAAGGGGCTGTGGGGAGCTGTGAACCTGTTCCTTTACCCCTGGGCTATACTACCCTGTTTCCCCGAAAATAAGACATCCTCCGAAAATAAGGCCTACTTACAGTTTTGCCTCTCGTTGTAATATAAGGCATCCCCCCGATAATAAGACCTCCCCGATAATAAGGCAAAAAAATGTGTACCGTATTCTTCTTCATTGAAAAATAAGACATCCCCTGAAAATAAGACCTAGCGCATCTTTGGGAGCAAAAATTAATATAAGACACTGTCTTATTTTCGGGGAAACAGGGTACTAGAGTGGTAGATCTCAGCTCCACAATTGCTGGAACTTCCCCGTGCACGGAGCATTCCAGGGTGGGATGAAGGAGGGGAGGGGCTGTGTCATGGATGGGAGAAGACAAGACAGGAACATTCTTATGAACTGGAGCATAACATTCTTATGCTCCAGTTAAGACAGTGATCAGGGCTGCCCCAGTCTGTGCAGGGGACCAAATGAGCCACCGGGGTCCAGGAGAGGCTTGTGCCAGCAAATGGAAGAATATATCCCTCAGTATTTTATCCTCCACCTCTCCTATTTAAAAGCAACCAAACTTCACAAAAATTCTTTTCTGTGAGTAGGAAAATCAGTTCTGCAGCCTCATCCCATTCCTGGATCAGAAAGCTCTGGATGAGGCAGAAGGAAGCGGACATGATTTGGTTCTCAGAAAAGCAAGCTTTCCAGTGACAGGGGCTTGGTGAATTCCTACTACACGTTACTGTCTGGTAGCTTTCCTTTTAAGTAGCTGACCAATAAAACAAATTGCCTTCACGTCAGCAGGGCTGGGCGCTGAGCAGGGAAGAGGAATTTGCAGTTTGTATCCTTGTTTTTTAATCATTTTTCTACCTTTATTGATATTCACAGCTCACATTTTCCCGGTTACTGTCAGCCTGGGCTTTCATCCATTTAAAGAGCTCTTTTTTCCCCCTTGTTGTTGATGATGATGGTATAAAGACAGATGGTGTAACTGCTTATGAATGTCCTATTTTATTTCCCCAGAACCAGACAGTTCACTTGAAGACGTATATTATTTCCACATGCTCAGGTTAGGCAGCCCAGACAGTGTCTGAATCCAGCGGCCGGCTACCCCTTCTTCCTCTCCATGCAGACGGTGACACCTCTAGGTCTCAGGTGGAATTGCATGAAGGCTCTAGCACATCAGGCTTACCTTTGTTAGCTAGGGAGGATATTGCAGCTTCATTGTAGCTGAGGAAGGCTTTAGTTTTTTAGTACATTTCTCTTTCCTCTTTCAGAAATAAGGGAAATGTGTTTTTGTCTGTTGGCTGGAGCGGAGGAGTTAGAGTTGGGAGACTGAGGTTTATATTTCTGGCTATCACTGGCCCCCCTATTTAACCTTGAGCAAGTCACCAACCTCATCTGTGCCTCAGTTTTCTGTTCTGTGAAATGGGGCTGGGGATGCTTTGCCCATCTTGTTAAAGTGCTTTGAGGAGCTGAGAGGAAGTGCACATTTTATTTTACCAGGAGGATCATAGGCTACTTCCTTGTCTGTCTAGTTAAGCAATTCTAGTCTGTGTATCACTGGAGTGTCTTGGAACCAGTCACTATGGGTGAATGTTAATTTAGGACAGAAAAAAAAGCAAAGACTTGATATTCAAATATTTTTTAACAAAGACCATAAAATCAGTTAACTTTTTAACTTCTGCTTTTTATCCCTGCTTCCCCAGTTAGACAGAAACCTTCTCCACACTTTGGCTTACAGCTTCTCTTAGGCAATAACAAAGAGATGAATTTTTCTCAGTTTTTCCCTGAAGTGAGGGGAATTATGGAATTTCAGTTCCCAACTATGAATCCAAATGCTGATTCCACAGCTCTTCCCTCCAGCAAACTCCCTGCTGCTCAGCCCACAAGGAGACAGTTTCTGCATCGATAATTTGTAGTATTTTAATTTTCTGCATATCACTGAAAAAATGTCTTTGTCGAAGGATACCATCCACCAAACATCTCACACTGGGAGTCTGAGCTTCCCAGAACAAGACCCCTGCAACTCTCACAGCTCTAAAGAATTTTGACCTGCGGAGCAATGGTAGTGGGGTAGATTATGAGCCACGCCCCCTGTTAGACATCATGTGCTACCCATTCTATCCATAGGCCTCAGAGGTAGTGTTTTCAAAAGCACCTCAGTCCTGTTTTCAAAAGCACCATAGTCACTTATGAGCCTGGGTCTCCATTGGAAGTCGATAGAACTTGGGCCAAGTCATATAGAAGTTTTTGAAAATTGTACCTTCAAGCAAATGGCTTGTGTTCGACCAGCGGCACCTAGAGTGCCAGTGTGGGGTAGTCAGGCCAAAGTCAACCCTGATACTTGCAGCCCCTTGTCAGTCAATTTTGAAACCCCTTGTTAAAAAGCCCCCTTTGCCAATGGCTACTAATGTACTCCTGATAGAGCTGGTGAAAGCTGCACGTGAGCCATTCCAGTCCTGTAAGCTTATGTTGCGTGGACGGTGGCTCGTTTCCCTGGGGGTAACCTTCAGTTTACAGGGTGAGTGATCCTCAGGCCGTAGTGACTGACCCACCTTTTACCAGAGGTGGTGCTGTGAACTCATCCATGAGACTCCTTACTAAAGCGATGGTAGAATTCCTCCTTAATGAACCTAATAGTCCTGCCAACATTCACTCTCTTTTCTGATTGCCTGGAAAAAATAAATTGTTAGAAATGCAAAAAAAAAGCATATTCGCTTGTCATCCCCTCAATCCAGTGTCACAGATTATTCCCTTTTCTATTGGTGGTAAAGCTTGTCTACCTGAACATTTAGTTCACCACAAACAAGGAAGTGAATCTGCCCTGCATAGCCTGCCACAGGCCAAGTGTTCTTGTGAACGCTGCTGGGTCAAAGAGGACTAGATCAAAGCACATTAATGAACTGCTAATGTGCATCAGTAGGGTCCATACAGACAGCTAGTCTGCAGCAAGCTTCACACTCCAGCTTGCTGCAAACTAATTGTTCGTGTTTGTCACTCAGAGGTGCAACCCTCCCTTTTGCTCCCCCCCCCAAGACACAAGTTTTGCCACGGCAAGTGTCAGTATAAACAGCGCATTGTCAGCAGGAGCGCTCGCCTGTCAACAATGAACACCGCTCCGTGGGGGTGGAAGTATTTTGTCAGCAAAAGTGCCAACAAACAGCAGCTACACTGCCTGACTTTTAGCAACAGGGTTGTGTTGACACGGCCGTGTTACTAGAAGATGTGTAGTGTAGACAAAGCCTTAGTGAGTCTGTTCCTCTTTGCTAAAGCCCTTGGAAAGGTTGCCATTTCTCACTAGTTTGTTTGGGTTCTGTGAGCTGGGGACTGTTTCTGATAAAGTTGTGCATGTCTGAAGTGCCAGTTCTTTCATATTCAACGTGGACCTGTCAGTGCTTCTATATGCATCCGAAGAAGTGGGCTGTAGTCCACGAAAGCTTATGCTCTAATAAATTTGTTAGTCTCTAAGGTGCCACAAGTACTCCTGTTCTTCTTTTTGCGGATACAGACTAACACGGCTGCTACTCTGAAACTTTTCAGTGCTTAGAGTTCTCTTGATGGATTAATACCTGCTTTTATGGCTCCCATCAGCATAGTATCTGATGGACTGTGTATGTGTATTTAAAGGGCAGGTAAGTATGTTTGTAGAGAACAAGGGAGTTTGGCTAGAAACTAATTGAACTGTGTTGCTTTAAGAAATATTTCACCATTTCAAGCCTAACTTTATGATCCAGTTGTTGGATAATCTTGTTGAAAGTCTGAATAAATAAAAGCAAGATGGCCAAGCATGACTGGACCTAGAAAAGATGGTGCATGTATTTCCATATCCTCCAGTTTGTTTCAGGAATTTCCTCTTCTCAGCTTATATGTGCATGGAGAGGAGAGGGTTGTACAACTTAAAAGGAATTCTCTTTAGACTTGGAGGTCATTGTTGGCTAGTAAATGACCTGCTGGAATTTTGTCAGTGGTTGTGAACTGCATAGGAGGGGCAGCGTCCTCAGTTCACTTCCCCAAATGGTACATTTCCCCAGGGACTCTTGTTTTTCTTAAATTTCTCCTTCACTCAGGCAGCAGGTTTCTTTTCACCTTGTGAAGTGTTGCAGCCTGTTGCCTAGAGAAGTGACTGTTCCTGGAAATCGTCCTTATCTGTTTTTCTGTGTGGTAATTAGTATTGGGTAAGTGTGGGTAATTCCCACCGTAGGGGATCTTGTGGGATATGTTGGCAGAAAAGTTCCAGCCACATCCAGGACTGGAAATGTTGAAACTTCCAAGTAAATTCTGCCCGGTGTGTCATGGGTACACAGTCCTGTCTGCCAGACAAAGAATCTTCCCAGTTAAGGAAAACAGGACATCCCTGGAAAATGAAGCAGTGACGACAGCACTCCTTTTCCTGTTTCTAGAATTTCACTGGTCTTGGTTTGAGCTCTATTGAAATTACATTAACCTTGAGACTAAATGTGTTTGTTTCTTGAAATGTCCCAAACAGTTCGGTGCTTGCAGTCTGAAATGTGGGGAGGTGGAAATCGATCTGAGATTGGTCCTCAGCAGAGTAGCTTGAACTGACCGTGCAAGAAACTACTAGCACTGTAGATTCTGAGGACCCACAGACAACACAGAAAATAACCAAGCAATCCCAGTTCATGAATGTGAAGGAACTCAACCCATCATCTGTCAGTTTAGCCAGGTCCTTTGGGCAGTTCTTATCACAAAGCAGTCCTGGAAGAGGGGAATCAGAACCACTGGAAGCCAGGTTTTATACATACACCACAAAATCACCCCTTTCTCTGCTTCGGCTTTTATTGTTTTCCCCTTTGCTTCTTACATTTTAGAAGAGTCGGTTGAAGATGTGGAAGGGCTGAATGAGACACCGGCTGATCCAGAAGAGCCTACGAAAGAGCAAGAGAGTGGCAGTGACAAGGACCAGAACAAATGGACAGGTGGGTTTTGCTTCCATTTCTACCCGAAGCCCAGCTAGCCTTGAGGCTAGATAGATGTCAGCGTGGCTTGTAAGGGCACTTCAGCTGATGCCTTGTTCAGCTCTGTAAATCTGGGCCTTCATATTTCTTCCGTTTGATTTTATTTGAAGAGGGACTTACAAACTCCATAACATTTCCTAACAGATATTTCAACTTCCATCTATTATCCTTCCTCGTTAGTTCATGTTTTTATTGAAAATGTGTCCCCTTCCAGCCTCCTCCTCCTGCCTGAAGTTACTAAAAAGTGTGCTAGGCTTTACAAACAGTTATGAGAGAATCCCTATCCCAAAGTGTTTTCTAGAGACATGGCATGATGGGAAAGGAGGTCACGAAAATGACAAGTCCTGAGTTATGTGGTCATTCTGCAAATTAGCAGGAAAGACATGGGGGTGGGGAGGGGAGCAGAAAGTTACAGGCAGAACAAACTGTTGCTTTGCTTAAAAGGTCTGTTCAGGTGACACCATCCAGATGGCATGAAAAGTCATGCTCACAGCTCTCCTATTACTAACACTTTGTTAGTGAGACTGACAGAGGTTAGTTTGTTTACTCACCATTTGCTATTTGTATTGCAGTGTCACCCGGGCACGCAGTAAAAGCCCCGTGGCTGGCCCGAGTCAGCTGACGGGCTCACAGGGCTCGGGCTGTGGGGCTATACAATTATAGTGTAGATGTTCAGGCTCAGGCTGGAGTCCAGGCTCTGAGCCTCTCCCCCGCATGGGGTCCCAGAGCTCGGGCTGCAGCCTGAGCCCAACATCTACACTGTAGTTTTATAGCCCCACCGCCTGAGCCCT